TTTCGATGTTTCTTGAAAGTATGCGAATTAGAAATTTGCACATTACTTCCTCATCATTGAAGCATGCAAATTGGAAATTTGCACATTTCTTCCTCATCATTAAAGTAGACAAATTAGAAATTTGCACATTTCTTCCATTGTTACGGCTTCCTCATAGAGGAAGCTTTAAGAGAGAAATCTAACTTTACTACGATGTTTCTTGAAAGTATTCAAATTATTCTTATTTCGCTCTTAAAGCTTCCTCTATGAGGAAGCCATAACAATGGAAGCAATGCTACTCCGTACAAGGTACAATTACATGTAAGTATTAAATGAAATTTAAGTAAAATCCCAGACAACGTTATGTCGTCTTAAAAACATCTTAAATCTGTGAAGTACATTTTTATATGAATACACGCAACAATTTAAAATTCCCTTTCGCAATTTTTCCATTTTTCGCTAATTGTCACTCCAGCAAATAATGCAAACTTCGGCCACCATGAGCGCCCTAAGTCCTACTTTTCCGCTATAGTATATCATCGCACGAAGCAAATTAGGCTGTTATTAAGCGTCGTCTACAATAACCGGCGTAAGCGTGGAGTAAGAATAAGTAAGAGTAGGCGCAAGAGAGCTACTTCCGGTTTAATAGAGCTGGAGTAAGGGCGTAAGCGAAATGAATTATTTTCATTTCTTACGCCTACTCTTACTCTTACGCCTTTTCATGCATGCCTACAACACCTACTTCACCGTATTGTAGATTGAGTCGGCGTAAGAGTAGGAGTAACGTTTTTGGCGTAAGCTGTTTACGCCGACTCAATCTACAATACGGTGAAGTAGGTGTTGTAGGCATGCGTGAATTAAAAGGCGTAAGAGTAAGAGTAGGCGTAAGAAATAAAAATAATTCATTTCGCTTACGCCCTTACTCCAGCTCTATTAAAGCCGGAAGTAGCTCTCTTACGCCTACTCTTACTTGTTACTCCACGCTTACGCCGTTTATTGTAGACGACGCTTTACATTTGTCGCGCGACAAATTCAAGCGGTAGAGCGGACTTTTCGGTACACGTGGCGCCACCCAGGCGTCGACGTGGCAAGCTCGGCCGCGGCTTTTGACGGTTTTGCCTCCATTCGTCCGACGCACGTGTGGGTTCGCGTGTCACACGGATCGTCCGCTTTTTGGCGCACAATTAGGTACGCACAATTGTCCACGGGCGGATTTCGCGCGCGTGGATCACCGGGAGGATCGCCGGAGAGGGCCGCGCGAGAGGTTAGCAATCTCGGTCGGGTAAAGACGCGTTCGTTCGCCGAGGTGAGTTCTGCGAGTCGTCCGACGTTCCCTCAACGGCCGTTCGCCGCTCTCTCGCGTCCGGTCTCGTCCCCTCGTCTCGTCCTCGGCGCGTTCCGCGGCGACGCGACGCCGCCGGGTCGGCTCCTCGCCCTCGTCCTCCGGCGAGGACAGCGCACGTGCCCGCGCGAATCCCCCTAACCTATGCCTTACGTAACGCGCGAAAAAACGCTGGCGGCCCGCTCGCCCGCTGGGCCTTCGCCTTCCCCTCGCGCCATGGAGGCAGTAACCGCAACCGCCGTGCATTCCAGGTGAAAGGCAATGCCGTCCGACGCGAAGAAGAAGCAGCAGCAGAAGAAGAAGGAGGCCGCGAAGGCGAGGCAGTCCGGCAAGAAGCCGCAGCAGGGCAATAATCAGAGGCCGGCGGAGGACGGCAAGGAGCAGAGCCCGTCGGGGGATCTGCAGAACGGCACCAATGGCACGGCAATTAGCGTCGAAGGTGAGACGCACCGTTCGTTTTCCCGCCCGCGCGATCCGCACGTGTCCGCTTTTTCATTTTTAAGCGACGCTCGATGTCTTGGACAAAGGGTCTGATAACTTGAAAGCCCGAGATACATTATTTTTAAATGCTCCTGAAAAGGTGGCACGCTCGAGGATCCTCAGTTTGATATTTCGGTACTGTTTTTAACAGATCGCGGATATTACTGCGCTTTCAGCGCGAGTAAGTTTCGAGAAATGTTTCAAGGTACCGTTGCATACGTATTTTACGGCGAGATAAGTTTGAAAAGCACACGAGTTAAGAAGAGATAATTTTCAGTTTTTTTTTTAATACTCGGAGAGGTGCAATTTAATGTGATGTTCCTTGGTGAGATTTGCGATTGTTTTGCAATTTTAATAAAATAATATGTTCCAAATAATCGTTGTATGTGTTTGTGATAAGTTACAAAAATCTATGTGCGTGTCCTACGAAAGTGCACTTTTCGAGCACTGTTTGCGATCGTTTTGCGCCTACAAACACGCCTGTCCCGTCGAACGTTCGTCAACATAAGCGCAATAACATGTGTTTGCAGAGGCATTATGTCTGAAATTGGAGGAGGATGCCAGATTGAATGCGGACGCGCGTTCGTGCACGGGCTCGCTGGCTTCGCATCCGCGCAGCCGGGACATAAAAATATCTAACTTTTCTATTACTTTCCACGGCTGTGAACTGCTGCAAGACACCATGTTGGAGTTGAATTGCGGCAGACGTTACGGTTTATTAGGTCTAAATGGCTCCGGGAAGTCTACGTTGTTGGCGGTGCTAGGTAACCGCGAAGTTCCTATCCCGGAGCAGATAGATATTTTTCATTTGACTAGAGAAATGCCCGCAAGCAATAAAACCGCTCTGGAGTGCGTGATGGAGGTGGACGAGGAGCGCGTGCGATTGGAGAAGCTCGCCGAGGAGTTGGTGGACTGTGACGAGGAGGACGCTCAGGTTTGTCCGAGACTGATGTTTGTCGAGAGATGTTCATTAAAAAAAAAAAGAGAAAAAATTACGTTCACTTATATTTACGTAATGTACGTGCAGGAACAACTCATGGATGTGTACGAGAGATTAGAGGACATGTCTGCCGACACGGCGGAGGCTCGCGCTGCCCACATTTTACACGGTTTGGGTTTTACCGCAAAAATGCAAGTAACTCCTACCAAAGACTTCTCAGGAGGTTGGCGGATGCGTATAGCTCTCGCTAGGTACGTAAAGTTATCTAGACACTAACGTCCTGTCGTGGCTCTTGGTCCTGTATGTTGCTTTGTGTTTAAATCTATTTCGAGTACCTGTACACAAAGAGTTTGGACAAGAACTGGAAAAAGGTGCTCTTGTGGTCGTGGTATGTATTTTTTTGCACTTGTTCGACAGAGCACTGTATGTAAAACCGCATTTGTTGCTGCTCGACGAACCGACCAATCATCTCGATCTCGATGCTTGCGTGTGGTTGGAGGAAGAACTGAAAACCTATAAACGGATTCTCGTTATAATTTCCCACTCTCAAGATTTCCTCAATGGCATTTGCACCAATATCATCCACGTCAATAAGAAGCAATTGAAGTACTACACCGGTAATTACGAGGCGTTCGTGAAAACAAGGTGAGTTACGAAAAATAATGCCCTAATAAGTCATTTCTTATAATACTACGTTCCCTTTATCTTCTCCTTTTTTTTTCTTTAGAATGGAATTACTGGAAAATCAAGCGAAGCAATATAACTGGGAGCAGGATCAGATCGCGCACATGAAAAATTATATCGCGCGATTTGGTCACGGCTCGGCGAAATTGGCCAGACAGGCTCAATCGAAGGAGAAAACTCTGGCGAAAATGGTGGCGCAAGGCTTGACCGAGAAGGTTGTTAATGACAAAGTGCTGAACTTTTATTTTCCTTCGTGTGGAACGATCCCGCCGCCGGTTATCATGGTTCAGAACGTCAGTTTTCGCTACAACGAGGACGCGCCTTGGATTTACAAGAATCTGGAGTTTGGAATTGATCTGGACACCAGACTCGCGTTGGTCGGACCAAACGGAGCAGGGAAGAGCACCCTGCTGAAACTGTTGTATGGTGATGTACGTCGCGAGTGTGCATTCTACTAGAAAACGTGGCACTCGGCGTTTTTTCTTAACACGATTATCTCGCGTTGCAGTTAGTACCGACAAGCGGAATGATTCGCAAAAACAGTCATCTCCGAATCAGTAGATATCACCAGCATTTGCACGAGTTGCTCGACTTGGATATATCGCCTCTCGATTACATGCTGAAGGCATTCCCCGAGGTGAAGGAGCGCGAAGAAATGAGGAAGATCATAGGCCGCTATGGTCTGACTGGACGTCAACAGGTGTGCAATTTAGAAAGTAAACGAAATGTAAGACGAATAAACGAATGTGCCGGCGTTTTATCTCGTGACTTGTTCAGGTTTGCCCTATTCGTCAATTGTCTGACGGGCAACGTTGTCGGGTTGTGTTTGCCTGGTTGGCCTGGCAAGTGCCTCATCTGTTGCTGCTCGACGAGCCCACCAATCACTTGGACATGGAAACGATCGATGCGCTCGCCGATGCCATAAATGACTTCGACGGTGGCATGGTTCTCGTGTCGCACGACTTCAGATTGATTAATCAGGTACGCGCATCTCCATATAGCTCCTTGTCCCGAGAAAACTGTAAGCTCTGTGGACGCGTTCTGTATATCCGATGTTTCAGGTCGCTGAGGAAATTTGGGTGTGCGAGAATGGAACGGTCACTAAATGGAGCGGCAACATTTTGGATTACAAGGAGCACCTGAAGGACAAGGTCCTGTCTGACAACCAGAAGAGACAGGACTTGGCGAATCGGGGAAAATAATGGAGGCAGCGCGCTGTGCTATCCGCTTCTCTCTTTCCAGTGCACTACGCCTTCACATTTATAGGAACCTTTTATTTTTAAAAAAAATTTTTTTTCTAAAAATTGTAACATACTAATCGGCACTGTGTGCGCTGTTCTGTAGCGCGTCAGCGATCAATCGAATTACTTAGTTAATTTATTGAAGTATTAGGTCCAAATTGATCCTTGACAACCCGTACACAGGTTGTGACGCATTACTCAATCATAGTAAACTAGGACAGAAAATTGGAAAATCCATGCATATTGCGGAAGAGTACAGGTTAAGTAAATCACGGACGATATATTTATAAGTATGTAAAGAAAAAAAAGGAAAGGAGACGAAAGAACCCAGTGGTTTCTCTTTTGACGATCAACTTTATTATAAATTCCTACTACTAATCTATAAAACAATTTGATTATCTTCAGGAATATAAAATATTGTAACGTGTACAAACATATGCAGGTACGATCGATTATATAGTCCCAAAATACATTTTTATCCGTGTACGTATATAAATAACTATGATAATATAACATGGAAGACGTCATTTTCATATATTTCTGTGTATTGCAAAATAGTGTCGAGAGGTGTCTTGGCGAATTTTCACCGCGTTTTAAAGACTACTATTAAAATATATCCCTCACGATACTTTCGACACGTGTGCTCTCTATAATACATGTACCTAATATATTTATACGCATTCTTTTAGTAATTGACATAAAGCATTGACGAGTTCTTTTTCCTCGTCAGCGATATCGAACTTCAGTTCATTTTGTGCCTTGAGATCAGCGACCATCTATTTTCGCGCGCTTGCTGCCCGATGCACGGCTCGAAATTTACGGTATATTTACAAATTTGGCGACCGTATTGTGCAGAGCCCCCGTTGCCGTCGGTGCGACATTATTGCGACGAGAGCAAAACCGTGATAAGCTACTGGAGAGAGAATCAGATAAACACAAATACTGTGGCAAGAGAGAGATTTGATTTCCAACCGCGAGATCGACCGAAGTCAAACTGGCGTGGAGGCCGGGATGGAGCAGGCCACCTCCTGGGCTAGCGCTGCGTTTCTCAGCACCAGCAGATGCGTGTCCATGTCGTTCAGCGCTTGATCGATGAACGCCAGTTTCCTGGCTTGGCTCTTGGGCACGCCGTGCTTGGTCACCAGCGCCAAGTGGGTCACAGCCAGCACCAGAGCCGCCACCCTGGCCTCCAACAGTCTGGCGTCCAACGGCGGGTACAGACTACGAACGACGTCGTCTACGCGAGGCGGAATACGTCGGGCGACCTGCGAACGGGAGTAAGACTCGGTAAGAGAAACTACAGCCGGACTAGCGATGCACAGTGATCGTGCTTACATCCACTATCTCCAGCGGGACAGTATTGCTGTTGACAGTTCCGGCGATAGTGGTGAGACTGGCCGTGAGAGCGTGACACGAACGGAGCACCGCTATGCAAGGCGGAGCCAAGCCAGTGGCATCGTCCACCCATCTAAGTAAGAGGCAAAAGTAAGATACCACTTGTGGCATCGCGTCCGACACTTTTCTTGACGATTTCTTTTACCTCTCAGCACCTGCCAGCCACTCTTGGCTCTCCCACACGTCCAGTCCCAAGCCAGTGATGTTCTCTGCCTCAAGCAGGTCGGAGGTCAGCTCCGCGGAGTCCTTCTGATTCTGAAAACAAGCAAGATGATTGTATTCTCCGCCAGGACTGCCCAGCATCCCCGTCACCCCGGACTCACGTAGTAGCAGCGTTGTCTGCGGCAGATGACGAGGAGCACCAGGAGGGCGCCGAGGAAGACCGCGGCGAGCGCGCCCAAGGCGGCCGCCACCACCGTCTCCATACCAGTGGCGGTGGCCGGCGGTCCGGCGTTGCTCATGGATATCGACGAGCTCATTGTCATGGATCTCTGGCGAATCGACGAGCCCCTGGGTGAAGAAACGGCGTCTACTTACATTGACGCTCGAAGCGAAATGTGAACACTAGCGCAGCATCGCGCGATCCATGGTGGAAGTATACAAGGTGACCCATTCCCGTGGATGCGCAGTAGCCTGCAAGTAGTGGGGACGATCCGTCCAATAAGAGCCGTGCTTTTTTGCGGATACCTCTTTAAGATTAGGTTGGGTTATGATTTGTTTGACCGTTCAAACTGCCGCCACGCAAAAAAGCACGTCGTTTATTGGCTGGAAGGAATGCTACCCCCTCTCATCATGCGCAATGGTTCACCTTGTATACTTCCACCATGGCGCGATCCACTCTCCTAGTGATGGGCGACGGTGGGAGGCGGCGACTGTCACGGATCTTAAGCCCAGTTCACCGCGCGAGATTGCTCGGTTACGCTACGGTGACGGGTGAATGCGAAGTGACTTGATGGCGAGAGTCGGACATTATCGTTGGAGGTGTGAAGGCCTGTATCTACGATGCTAGGGCCAGTATTCGTAGTCGGATCTTGTTCAATTGGAAACATCAAAGCGAAAATCTCGAAAACTGACAATGTATCAGGAGAACATGATCAGCAAAGAGGTGGCACTATCTAAATTTCCAAGACTTTTACAATTTCCAGGAATTGGAATTCCGAGAATGTCAAACTTCAAATTGCGAAAATCGGGAATCTCGGAAACTGCCAAAGTATCAGCTAGGAGAACATGAA